TATGGTGTCAGTGGAATTCTATTTTGATAGCCTGCTTCTTGTAAGAGTAGAAGGGGATAATTATATTACCTATCATTTAAGTTAAGGCATCACACAATTACCACTTTGCATTTATTTTCCTTGAATTAATACAATTAAAATATATGTAATTCTTATTTCAATTTGACTACACCTATCATGACAGCTAATCCAAAGATAAAAATTAAATAGTTTGTTAGTATACATGAGGATAAAACCATGGCAATATGATAGGGTGTGGCTCTAACAAGTACTTCCTGTACATAAAATAAAGACCAGTTCTATATCTGGTCTTCAATCCAGGTCTAACTTTTCCTTAGTTTATTTTTGTAGTGTTTTAACTGTTAAGTGATATGAATTATTTTGGCTTATGCATTATATAAGCGCCATCCATAAAACTTGTTCTGGTATGTATCAAGGACCATAAAAATAATCACTGTTGGATCTAGAATTCACCCCTAAAAATATATCCTAAGGAAATAATTCCAAATGTAGGGAAAGCTATATTCAAAAATACTTTCATTGTATTACTTAAAATAGTAAAAAATGGAAACAAGCTAAATATTAAGATGAGAGTGACTGAGTAAATTATAGTAAACTAGTTGATAGAACTTTTTTATAGCAATTGAAAATGATGAAAGACGGTATATAAAAAGCAAGGAAGATGATTGTCGTTATTTTTATTTAAATAATTTTTACTATAAAAAGTTTATATTCCATTAAAGAAAATAGGAAAATAAGGACAATAGAAAAAAGAAAAATAATAATAATATTCGGGGGGAAAAGCAGACTACTCAGTTGTATCTGTGATATGATTAAAATTTTTGTTAAATAATAGAGCAATAATACTTGAAAGTTGTTTTACAGGGTTTTATTTTCTTATCAGATATATGTAGCATAATTTGTAATATATTCTTATTTATATTATTATTTATAATATACGAATAATATAGCATAATTTCTTATATGTTTATATTTAAAACTCAGAAACCCTCATTGGAACACTGGAACCCTCTTGCTGCCGAAATGCACAGGTAAAGAGTGCAAATTAAAAGATTGCTCCAGCGGGCATGGTGGCTCATGCCTGTAATCCCAGCACTTTGGGAGGCCGAGGCAGGTAGATCACGAGGTCAAGAGTTCAAGACCAGCCTAGCCAACATGGTAAAACCCCGTCTCTACTACAAATACAAAAATTAGCTGGGCATGGTGGTGCATGCCTGTAATCCTAGTTACTCAGAAGGCTGAGTCAGGAGAATCGTTTGAACCCGGTAGGTGGAGGTTGCAGTGAGCACAGATCATGCCACTGCACTCCAGCCTGAGCAACAGAGAAAGACTTCATCTCAAAAAAAAAAAAAAAAAAAAAAAAGATTGCTCCACAGTCTTGCATGGTTAGGTACCAGTATTTCGACTTCACAGGTGAGAAACAGGCTGGAAGTTAAGCTAACTTACCCATGGTCTCAAAGCTGGTACTAGCAGAAGAGAGATTGACAATCACATCTTACTAGCTTTAAAATGCCTAAACTCTTTTTTCCCTTCCTGGTATCATCATGGTGAGAATCAAATTAGGCAAACATAGAAATGTATGCTGGAAATGGGGGTATTGCCCCTCCCTAGGGTTTCAGGATCACCCACTTTTCCCATGCCGTCCCGCAAAGGACAGAGATCATAATTGTAAAGCTTTGTGAAAAAATAAAGAAGAGACTGGTAATATCCTGTTACAATTTTCTTTTTGAAAATGTCTCAGCCAGGCACAGTGGTTCACGCCTGTAAACCCAGCATTTTGGGAGGCTGAGGCAGGAGGATCATTTGAGGCCAGGAGTTTAAGACCAGCCTAGGCAACATAACGAGACTCCATCTCCACCTTTTTTTTTTTTTTAGTGTCTCAAATCTTCTGTTGTAGGGAAATTCTGATCTATGAGAAGCTGCTTGAAATAAATGGGCTACTGGCCAAGGCTTGGAAATGTTTGTGGTATGAGAAAGTCAGTTATTATTTGGCAGCTACAGATACATTATTATTGCTATTTAGAAACAATTAGTAAATTACTGAAAAGTCAGTAAAAGTAAAATTATTTCTTTGGAAAGACCCTATTTACAGAAAATTATGCCTCAGGTATGCCTTTGCTTACCATTAGATCTATTTCAGTTCCAAAGGAATATATGGAGAGAGAGGGAGCCTTTGTAGCTTCTAAAAATGTTCATGAAGGAGTGGCTTACTCTCTTTGCCCTTAGCTTAACAGAAGCAAGAGGTAGTTTGGAGAAGCAGGAAGTCAGAGGTGGGTTCATTGTATCATTATTTCTAGTCCTAGCTCTTCACTGTTCCTTGGCAAGTTTCTTAACCTCTCTGGGTTCCCCTCTTCTTACCTTTCTTCTATTCTTCCCCAAGTGTGGGAGTCACACTTCAACACTGTACATCCAGGAGTGTTGTGTTGTTAAAAAGTATTGTTAAATACTTTTTAAACGTGTTGAATACCTGTTAAATACTTTTTAAACATGTATTTATTTGAGTTAGTACTACATACACATGGTTCAACATGTAAAAGATATAAAGGGAAATTCAGTGCCATCTCCCTCCCACCTGCTCCTCTCTGTGTGTCCCTGTTCCTGTTCTCAGTTTTCTTTTTCAAACTCAGAAATCCCAAGAGTCTGTGAAGGGCAAATGAAAAGCAAGATGACTAGACTAAATCTGAATGAAAGGAGTTTATTCTAAGGTGATACTGCTCACTGCTCAAGGTGCTTATCTGCCCCCTTCAGGGGCTCCCTCAAGTTTTCTGAGACTTCAAATAGCAACACTCAACTAAACTATAAAATAGTCACCACACCTTTTCAAGAAATTTTGACTTTGAACTTGCTAATGTGCAAAGGAAATAGTCCAACCATTTCTCTAGAACTTGGTTGATAAGAAATTTCATTTTGTCCCATTTATAATTTCATTCTAAAATTTTGTTTTTGTTTTTTTTCTGCTATGGAGTAGGAGAGAAGGGAATACGGGAAAGATTTGTTTTTGTACTACTGTGAGATTTTTATACCTTAGGCCAAGACAAAGCACACAATAAATAAAGTATTAACAAAATGTCCTTAATTTTCCTTTCTGACCAAGATTGCTTGCCTCTGCAATTATATATAAAGAAGGGATGTGTTGAGCAAATGAAGTAGGACAGCTAGGCAGACAAGATGTGCCCAGCGCCTGGCATACAATAGGGGCACAGGCCATTGCTTAACAAAACGTGTAATTTATGAAAACATGCTCGAAGCTGCTATACTAACCAAATATTCCCTGCAAAATTTTAAATTTACAATGCAAAATAAGAATAATTTCAAAACTATTTCTAGAAAAAGAGCTTTAAGGGCTTCCTCCCCATAACAATTTAAGATTAACCTAAAACATGGTAGTTATTTTGCAAGAACTGGAGAGCACCAATCCCTTCTCCTTGTGTGTGTCTGACATTGGAGGCTTATTGTGCACGAAGTTGTGATCAAAATCCAACTCGATTCATTTTGAAAAGTAACATGACTACAACATCCATCCACTCCAATGAGCAAAGGGTGTAGGCTTTGAGTATATACAGCAGGCCACACACTATAGGTCATGGCATACAGTCTAGCGCTGGAGGTTGCTGCATTTGTTCATGTATCTATGAGTTAGGTTTTAAGTTTTTTCTCCCTGTTCTTTAATATAATTAATTAATTAACCCCACTCATTTACTTACTCAGTTCACAGCCTTTTAAGAGCCTGCCTAGGACATAGAGATGAAGATCCAGTGCCTACCCTCATGAAACATACAATCCAAGCGAAGAAGGCTTACTTTGAAATAGTCATCAAGTTGTGCTCTTATGGCGCTTTACTGCTCCCGCCAGCACCCAGTGCCAGGGTATGACCTCACGCGGTGGCAGAGTCCGCGTGCGAGGTCCCGCTCTCCCTGGCTTGCCCCGGCAGGGCGGAGTCAGCCGAGCAGCCGCCGGCGCTGCCCCCGCGCGGCCTTTAATTTCGCAGCTCCGACCACCGGAAATTAGTCGAAGGCTGAGCGGACCCGGTCGAGAGCCGGCGAGCTCCGCGCGGGGAGGGTGCGCCCACCGGTCCCGTCGGGCGCCCGCGGGACGCGCCGCCAGGGCCCTCTGCGCCGGGGGCTCGGCGCTCGCCCACCTCTTCCAAATTTAACCATTACCTAAATCCGAAGGGAAATGAGCAAACCTCTCGGATTGGGTGTCAAGGTATTTTCAGCCTCGTTGGGCGTATTTATCCCCAAGTGTTTCCACAACAAGCTATTTCGGGGCCGCGGGGCAGGTTTCGCTCTGCGGACGCCGTGGCCACTTGCCGGGCTCCAGGCCGGCGGCACCGCGGGCCGGTGATTCACGGTCCCGACCCGGGGGTGGTGCAGCCCTAGGAGGCGGCGGGGTAGGGCAGGGGGAGCGGGTGACCGAGGCCTGAAGGGCGGGGAGGGTCCTCGGAGCGGGGCGCCCCCACCCCTCTCTTGCCAGTCAATCTGTGTCCTGAATCTGTGGCTTCTCTCGCTGCGGAAGTCTCCCTGGAGCCAAGAATAGTTGATTTTCTTTCGAGTCATTTCTAGTGCCCGAGTGTACGGACCTCCAATTTCCCCCATCCCCTGTCGACCCACAGGGAGAGAACTGGGAGGGCGACTAAGGGGAGCGCGGGACGGGCTGGAAAGGCCAGGTCCCCCACCCGCCTGACCACTTGCGCAAAGGAGCGCGCTCGGTCGCCCGACGGGGGTTGGGAGCAGGTCTGGGAGGGCTATGCGAGCGATTCAGTAACGCTCAGGAAGTGAAGCTTGTGGTTTTGGGGGCTGAGCTCGGAAGGAGAATTTTTTTTTTTAAGTCAGAGAGACAGAGCAGTCTCTCCCGAAAGCAAGATTCCGTTTGAAAACTCTCCTAGCGCGGTGCCCGCACCCTGACCCCGCAGGTAGGTCCGCCGAGCCTGTTCTGCGCCTCCTGCCCTGGTGGGGGCGGCCGCGGGGACTCGAGGAGCGCTGGCGCTGCGGGGGCGACCTGAGGACGCAGGCAGGTTCCCACCTGCTGCGGACCGCCGTGCGGGAGCCCGGAGAGCTCCGGCAGCTGGGTTAGGACGCGACCCGCGCAGCGAGGCTGGAAATCTAGAGCTGGGGGCGCGCAGCAGGCGGTCTGGTGGTTCGGCAGGGGAGCCAAATCCACCCGGGAAGGAAACATCTGGTGGGGAGGCGGCGGCAGCTGCGCTCGGGAGGCCGCCCCCTTAGCGCCCTCGGCTCCCGCCTTCCCGGGCCCGGACGGTGAGGAGAGGCCTGAGCGCGCGGAGGGGCCGCCCCACCTCCCGCGCCAGCTGCAGCACGGGGTTGCCTTCCCACGCGCTCGGCCCAGGCCCCGGGGCCCCTGTCTCTTCCAAACTCTGTCCCTCCCCACAGGAACCAGCAAAGCGGGCCGGGGTGCGAGAGAGGCGTGGGCTTACAGCCCGGGTGGGAAGGCGGCCTCCGCGTCCGCCTGGTCTCTCGTGGCGCCAGCCCAGACCCAGCTCCGGCGCTGACAGTTACCCCGACCCCATCTGTCCAGCTCCCAGCCAACGTGGGTCCAAGCCGCAGCGGGACCCTCGGGACAACGCCACTCCGTTTTTCTTTTCTTCCGAGTTTCGCGGCTGTTTAAAGAATTGGGTTTGGGGTTTGTGGCGTCTAATTGTACGGATGAGAAGTGCAGGAAGCGGCAAAGCTCTAGCCCTGGGAGTCAACTCGGAGGGAGGCGGATGGCACTCTCACCCCTAGGGTATTCGGGCGCTTGGGTAGCAGGAAACGTCGCTGGTGCCCCGCGACACGTCCCAGGCGTCTTTTCTCCCAGGTCTACTCCCATTCCTCCGGAGAAGGGGACACAATGGGGCTGGGGATCTGGGGCAGGGGGCCTGCACCCTACAGGGACCAAGGCCCCTACGTAGGACTCATTTTGAGCTGAGAGCGCCAACGGACAGACGTAGACTGTGTGGCCGGCATCTTGCCTAGGAAGCCGAGGGGCTCCTAGTCCGGCAGTGGAAACGGCGCGAAGCCGGAGGACTGCAGGTCTTGCCCCGGCCCAGAGTTCCCAGCACCCTCATTTCTGAACCAGCCAAGGCCACGGAGAACTGCTGTATTGCAGCTCACGTGTGAACCAGGTCCCTATCCGCTTCACCCCGGGAGGAAGGCAGATTCGTTTACCCCAGACCACCTCGACTGTAGAGTCCCGCCCCTGGAGCCGGCTGGAGCCTAGTGGCAGGCGCAGTCACGCCCTCCCGCCGGGCTCAGATTTCGACCTGGTATTAGGTGAACTGATTGGGGGTTAATGAGAGCGACGCCCCGGACAGCTAGTCCCCTCCTAGGCCCGGGCCCGACCCCTGCTATCTGCCAATGCAGCCTGCGCGCTCTGGCGTCCTGTCTTATTTGTCTGCTAAATTATCGGTGCACTACCGACTCGGGACACCTAGCATTTCCCAGTCAACGTTCGCGGATCGGGCTCCACTTCCCTAGGACAAGATTTTTTGGTGAGCAGAAAGGAAAGTGCTTTTTCCCAGGACCTGATTCCCGAGGTTAGGTTTCCACGGTCGGGGATGGCTCGCCGCAGCCTCGACCGGTGCCCTCCGCACCCGGGAGTCCGGGGCCAAAGTTTCTCCTACGTGGGGCACGAGTGAGGGGCGAGTGAGATCACCGGATGCGAGTTTCTCCCGGGGCGGGGGTTGGTCCTCTGTTACTCCCCTCACTTTCCTGTCCCTTTGCTCTCCCACCTCCTTTCTCTGGCCTCTGCTATCCCCAGTCCCTCTGCTGCTGTTCCCTCCGCCGCCCCACAGTTTTATCTTGTGTTCCGTTCCCCCCCACCCCCCGCCCTTTCACTCCAGTTTGTAGCTGGGTCTTGGATGTCTTGGCTCCGTGCCCCTTCCGGGTCCTCGACCACTGGGCATCCCCGGCCCCTCAACCGATCCGCGTGTCCCCGCCCTCCCTCGCCAGCCGTAAAGCACAGCCAGGCAGGCACTGAGTAGATGAGTTGGGGTAACCTACCCGATGGGAACTACGGCTTTCCAGAGAGTTTGATTGCCAGAGCGAACTTGGCTAGGAAAGGGGAGGAGCTGGGGGGCGTGGGCAGGGAGGAGGAAAGGGGCCTGAGCCAGGGCCCAGGGACAGGTTTTACCGCTGAGCTGTGTCAGTGGCGGCAACGACGGCGGGTTCGCGCCACCTGTCCAAGTGCCACCTGGTAAGCGCGGCGCAGCGGGGCCAAGCCCCTCCTCCCGTGGGCCCTCTGCGCTCCTCCCTGGCCCGCGCTCTCCCTCCGCCTGGGTGCCCAGTCCCCAGCACCGGAGAATACTGACCCGCGTTTCCACCCGGTTTTCTTTCCCTCTCAGGTCTTCGCCGGGCTGGGGCTAAGCAAGCCCTCGGAGTGACCGTGGGTGACAGCGGCTCCAGGGACTCTTGGGGCGCAGTGGGGAAAGCGCCGGACCACCATGCCGCGCTCATTTCTCGTCAAAAGCAAGAAGGCTCACAGCTACCACCAGCCGCGTTCCCCGGGATCAGACTATTCCCTCCGTTTAGAGAATGTACCGGCGCCCAGCCGAGCAGGTGCGAGGCGCGCGCGGGCGAGGCCGGGCTGCTCCCGCAGACACCGACTGCATCTCGACACACCATTAGTCGGGAGCTGGGAGGGGCTGCCCCAACGTCCCCTTTGCGGCCGTTTTTGTTTCCTACTGTGCTGGTTCCTCCGGGTTTGTCTCCTAGGTGCCACGGCCTCTCTGCGTCTGCCCTCGGATCCGAGAGAGTTCCCGGCCGGGGTCTGGGTGGAGAGGGGAAGATGCTCGGGTGCCCTGGTAGGGGGTTTGGGGGAGCCTTCAGAACCCTCAGACTCAACCGGTCGCAGCCTGAGCCCCTCACCTGCCTCCTCTCTGCAGACAGCACTTCAAATGCAGGCGGGGCGAAGGCGGAGTCCCGGGACCGTTTGTCCCCCGAATCGCAGCTGACCGAAGCCCCAGACAGAGCCTCCGCATCCCCAGACAGCTGCGAGGGCAGCGTCTGCGAACGGAGCTCGGAGTTTGAGGACTTCTGGAGGCCTCCGTCACCCTCCGCGTCTCCAGGTAGGAACCCACCGGGAACCTCTGGGGCGGGAGCTGCAGGGACCCGGCAGTGCTGGGGAAATCGGGGCGACCTTGGACGTAGATATGCTAACGGGGAGTTGGAGAGTCTTTCCAGGAGGAGGGAGCTGATTCGTAGGGGAAGGAGGCATCTGTCTTCTCTGGGACCTGGACAGCTTGCCCGCTGGGGCTGCTGCCTCCATCCCAGGCAGAGGGAGCCTAGCTGCTCGTCGCTTAGTTTCGTTTGCGCGGAGCTGGCCGGTGAGGGAAAACAAACCAGTTGTTTCTACTGGCAGCAACGCCGACCTTTCATTTTCTGACCAGACTTGATTGTTTTATAAAGTGCTAGGATCCTGCAATCTAGACCCCAAACTTCAAACAAACGGAGACCAGGGCAGAACGGGCCAGGCAGAGGAGTTAGACGCTGGGCGTCAGGGAGGGGGCAGGACGAAAATCTCAGCCCGCGGCTTGGTCTTCACAGGCGCAGATTGGGGGCCTGTTTCATTTTTCGTTTTGCCAGACTAACCCAGCCTCAGGGGCCTGCTCTTTGGGTTTCATTTCCAGCGAGCAATCCAGCTTCAGGCAAACTGCACGTTGGGTGGGGGCGTCTTGGGTCCCGGCCTGGGGAAGGAATGATCGGACCAGCCGGATTCTGTCAAGGGCCAGTTATACCCAGAACATGTTTGCTAGTGTTAAAAGATACCACCACCCGTCCCACAATCAGTGAGTTGACTTGGCGAAAACCATAGCTCCAGCAAATGTGTCTGGGAGTCGGCGGCGGGAGGATTCTTCCTGCCAGGGCGTCAAGTGGCCGGGCAAGGATTGGGCGCGCCCCGAACCATCCGAACGAAACTCCGGGTACAGCCTCTCACTGAAGTGGCCAGCCTGAACTGGAGTGAGTGTGTGTGTGTGTGTGTGTGTGTGTGTGTGCGCGCGCGCGTGCGTGGGCCCTCTGCGCTCCTCCCTGGCCCGCGCTCTCCCTCAGCGGGAGCACACACACACATTTGTAAATGCTGTATGCACTCACATGCATTGGGGTCACTAGTTTTAGCAAAATTCACGTGGGTGGGGGCGTAGCAGGCCGCTAATTCAGAGAGCCGTCTCCTTGCAGGTGGTGGCTAAACCTTACGAGTTATACAGTTATTCTCTGAGAAATTCGGGTTCCCCACCTCCATCAAACTATAACAGGAATGGGGAGTATCTGGCTGGCAATTTAAGCCCAAAAGCCCCTTTCCTGCTGCACCTTTGCTACGTACACTGGGGACTTCGTGAAATCTTAATACCTTCGGGTTTATTCAGATGCCAGCCTTTCGGGTAGTTCGGGGACGCATTTATGGACCCTCTACCTCCTTCCTTGTGGATTCTGGGAAGAAAAAGAATTGAGTGGGAACATGTAGGGGCTGGGAGAGTGCCTGCGCTGGTGGCTGGACCCTTCCGCCCCTGAGTGCTGTGCGGGGCCGAACGGCCTTCTCCTCCCTAACAGCTCAACTCCGGGCATTTAGAGACGCGCCCTTCCCTATAGGATCTCCAGGTGCGCGCGTCCAGCCAGAAAAGATCCTCGGAACGTCGAGCGCTTCCGCTGCCCTCGCATAGAATTTTCCTCTCCCGAGGTCTTTTCAATGATCCGTTTGCTGCTCTGCCTTCTATAGTGGCCCGCGAGGCCCCAGGGCCCGGGCTGCGTTTTACCCTGGGGCGCGCCTGGCGCACGCAGTGTTCTACAAGCGTTGGGTGCCCCGCAGTCCGCGAACACGCCACGCCCGCAGCCGCAGCCCGGCGGCCTCCGCTCTGCGGTCTGAAGCCTGACCGGACGCTCCCTTGTGCCTCCACAGCCTCGGAGAAGTCGATGTGCCCATCGCTGGACGAAGCCCAGCCCTTCCCCCTGCCTTTCAAACCGTACTCATGGAGCGGCCTGGCGGGTTCTGACCTGCGGCACCTGGTGCAGAGCTACCGACCGTGTGGGGCCCTGGAGCGCGGTGCTGGCCTGGGCCTCTTCTGTGAACCCGCCCCGGAGCCGGGCCACCCGGCCGCGCTGTACGGCCCAAAGCGGGCTGCCGGCGGCGCGGGGGCCGGGGCGCCAGGGAGCTGCAGCGCAGGGGCCGGTGCCACCGCTGGCCCTGGCCTAGGGCTCTACGGCGACTTCGGGTCCGCGGCAGCCGGGCTGTATGAGAGGCCCACGGCAGCGGCGGGTTTGCTGTACCCCGAGCGTGGTCACGGGCTCCACGCAGACAAGGGCGCTGGCGTCAAGGTGGAGTCGGAGCTGCTGTGCACCCGCCTGCTGCTGGGCGGCGGCTCCTACAAGTGCATCAAGTGCAGCAAGGTGAGGCTCACGAGCTCACCACCTCGACTGCCCTCCACCTGCTTCCCCTACCTGGGCCTCACCTGCGCCCCTCGGCCCCTCTCAGCGGCCTTCTCTCCGGCCCCACCCGCCTTAGGTGTTCTCCACGCCGCACGGGCTCGAGGTGCATGTGCGCAGGTCCCACAGCGGTACGAGACCCTTTGCCTGCGAGATGTGCGGCAAGACCTTCGGGCACGCGGTGAGCCTGGAGCAGCACAAAGCCGTGCACTCGCAGGTAAGCGCGGGGCACACCGCCCGCCGTGCGCGGCCCTGCTCAGAGATCTTCTACATCTCCTCGGTGCAGCACCGGCCACCCTCTGCCTGAAAGTTCTCTTCCCAACTTCCCCCAGTTTCCTCCCCCAACCTCTCCGCTGCGTCCCCTTGCCGTGGTGCATGTGTGTAGGGAAAGGAGGATCGTGGCCGGCTCAGGCCTTGAGGCAGCCCTAGATTTTGGTGTCACACCACGGTGAGCCTCGAGAGTGTGATCCTCATTGTTACTTTGGGCTTGAGGTAGGTTTATATGCACTGATTCGTGCTGCTGATATATCAGACTTATTAGCTCTATTTCTTTGTGCCTGTTCTTTTCACCAAATGGTTGTCACTTAATTTGCATTGACCCCTCTCGACTGAAAAGGCGGGAATCTCAGCTCATTTAGAGCATCTAGTAGCATATTTACCCCGCTATTCTTTCCTCCCTCCCTCCCTCCCTGCCTGCCTACCTGCCTTCCTCCTTCCTTCCTTCTTTCTTTCCTTCCTTCCTTCCTTCCTTCCTTCCTTCCTTCCTTCTTTTCTCTTTTCTTTCTTTTCTTTTCTTTATGTTCTTTCTTTCAGAGTCTAGCTCTGTTGCCCAGGCTGGAGTGCAATTGCACAATCTCAGCTTACTGCAAACTCCCCCTGCCAAGTTAAAGTGATTCTCGTGCCTCAGCCTCCTAGGTAGCTGGGATTACAGGCGCATGCCACTATGGCACAGCTAATTTTTGTATTTTTAGTAGAGACGGGATTTCGCCATGTTACCCAGGCCAGTCCCGAACTCCAGGCCTCAAGTAATCCACCCGCCTGGGCCTCCCAAAGTGCTGGGATTACAGGCGTGAGCTACCATGCCCCACCCCCGCTATGTATTCATTCATTCATTAATAAACATTTGTTGCCTAACTTCTAGGTGCCAAGTACTTAAGAATCTTGCAGCACATCAGGTCCTTGACAGCATGCCCACATGGAGATCATAGTTTAGCTGAGAGATGGAGAGTAGATGAGCAAGTAAATATATCAACAGATACCTCAGGAGAATGCCTACTTGTAGCTAAAAAGAGTATCAGTCCATGGCGGGGCACGGTGGCTCAAGCCTGTAATCCCAGCACTCTGGGAGGCTGAGGCGGGTGGATCACAAGGTCAGGAGTTCCAGACCAGCCTGGCCAAGATGGTGAAACCCCGTCTCTACTAAAAATACGAAAATTAGCTGGGCGCGGTAGCATGTGCCTGTATTCCCAGCTACTTGGGAGGCTGAGGCAGGAGAATCGCTTGAACCTGGGAGGCAGAGGCTGCAGAGAGCCGAGATCATGCCACTGCACTCTAGCCTGGGTGACAAAGTGAGACTCCATCTAAAAAAAAAAAAAAGAGTATCAGCCCGTCTCCCCCAGCACCCACACTGGCGGGGGGGAGGTGGCATCTCAAGTGACTGAGGTCTAAGCCTCCTGTTGAGGAGGGTGGAGAAGTGTGTGCTAATGGGTGTCAAAAAAAGCAGGGTGTGGATATGTTTTTGCCATGGGGTGTGGAAGGTTGTGGGTGAAGAACATTTTGGTAGAAAAAGTGTTGAAGGGCCGGGCATGGTGGCTCACGCCTATAATCCCAATACTTCGGGAGGCTGAGGCGGGCGAATCACTTGAGGCTAGGAGTTTGAGACCAGCCTGACCAACATGATGAAACCCCGTCTCTACTAAAAATACAAAAATTAGTCAGGTGTGGTGGCGTGTGCCTATAGTCCCTGCTACTCAGAGGGGCTGAGACATGAGAATTGTTTGAACCTGGGAGGTGGAGGGTGCAGTGAGCTGAGATCTTACCACTGCACTCAAGCCTGGGCGACAGAGGAGACTCTGTCTCAAAAAAATAAAGAAAAAGTGTTCAAGGGATTTTAGGGTCAGCTCAAGGGTGAGGAGAGCAGCAGTCTAGTTGACCGCAGTAGGAGTGCCACATCTCTCTCTCTCTGCAGGAACGGAGCTTTGACTGTAAGATCTGTGGGAAGAGCTTTAAGAGGTCATCCACACTGTCCACACACCTGCTCATCCACTCAGACACTCGGCCCTACCCCTGTCAGTACTGTGGCAAGAGGTTCCACCAGAAGTCAGACATGAAGAAACACACCTTCATCCACACTGGTAAGCTGAAGACCCTTGGCTTGTAGGAAACACCCTGAGGCCAACATTACTCATCTTCTCTGATTTCTGGCCCCAGTGAGTGGTGGATGAGGCCTTTCTGATGGAGTTTTTCCCTGCTCTGTGTTAAAGAAAACAAAGGGGTGGGTTCTTTGGTTCATTTATAGTCATAATTCTCCCCAGAGCTGCCTTGATTTGGGGTTGTGTCTGAAAGGCCACTCAGCAGGTCAGCTCACAGTTACTCTATCCTTGGAAAGAACATTTTCCTTTAGGTTAGCAGCTGCTTCCACTGCTGCCTGCTCTGGGTGAAACATGAAGCTCCAGGGTCGTCTTAGAAAGTTGCTCTAAAGCTTACCTAGAGATTGAGGACTTTCTCTAACCACCGGGCCTTTTGTGGGAGGGACTCGTGTGGCCTCTCTGGCTGCATTTTCAGGAGTCTGAGAGCTTATTCTGATTGAAGAGGAACAAATAATGGCAAATATGATTAAACTCTCTGCTAAGCATTTTTAAAATGCATTATTTCATTTTATGCTCACAACAACTCTGAGAGGTAGAGACGACTACTTCTCCCCATTTGAGAGATGAAAAAAGAGGCTAGGTAATCTGTCCAGGGTCATACTGCTAGCAAATGACAGGGCCAGAGCTCAAATTCAGGTCTGACCTCTCAAATATCCACTCTTGACCACTGTTTATTGTATTTTATGTTCAGAGTCATAAGGTTGGTAGACACAGAAAGCTTCTGTTCACTTATTGCCCTTTTCAAAATATCTGCAAGTTCACGCCATAATAATAATTCCTTACCTATTATAATGCTTTACAATTTACAAAGTACTTTCAATCTATCATTTCATTTGATTCTTATTGCCACTCAATAAAGTAGACGGAGCTGCTCTTACCATCCTGAAACTCAGAGAGAGTGAATGATTTATCAAAAGTCAGACTGAATGAATATTGGAGCCATGTAATGCTCTGGCTTTTAATCCTCAACTCTTTGCCTAACACTTTATGTGCGGGTGGGAGTTTTAATGCCAAGAACACTCTAATAGTCAAAAGACATTTACATGAGACCCAGAATTTCTGAAAATTTTATTGTAGAATATGAATACTGATTTAGAACAAATCACAGTGTATTCTAAACGCCCACCCTTGATGTTTATAAATATACTTCGGTAATGTATATATTTCCATTGAAAACCCAGAAAAGTATTCTACTTTAATCATTCCCTCTTACCTGAAATTTCCATGTAATTCACTCCTTATAAGTAAGGTATTCAGGACACTTATCAAAATGCAACTAGGATCTTGACTGAATAAAACATTAAGCCCTTATCAAACATTTACGTTATACCTAGAATTTGTTTCTCAGATTTGTTTGACCCTAAAGGGATAGAATACATTTTGATGGGTGGTTTCTTATCGAGGAAATCTGAAGCATGAAAACAGAAAACAGTGTAGCAAAGAGGACAGAGGGTTCCTCAAAAACAAACTTCATCTATTTTATATTTTTTCCAAGGCTGAGCCCTGACTGTAATGCCATGCTGGGCTATTTGGAAATTCATGCCATGTACCTAACAACACATGAGGTAGGGAACAAGACAAAACCTTTTTGTGTTCTCTTATTTATTAATTTGTGGTGAACAATTGCTGGTATATAAAGAATCATGTTATTAACCTCATAAAATTAAGGAAAAATCAAGACAGAAAAGTGTCAGCTACCTTAATACTCTGTGGCCCAATGTGGATTTTTAAAATAAGATATTGAAAAACGTATCCTGCACATGTACCCTGGAACTTAAAAAACAAAGAAAGAAAGAAAAAGAAGAAAGAAAGAACGAAAGTCAGTCCATGTTAAGATGTTTTTCCAGATATACTTTGCTGTCCTTTAAGAACAAGAAAGAAGACAGGCTCACTGATCCATACAAACTAACACCCACTTGGAAATTCAGATTTGAAAACTTCCTCTGAATTAGAACGGAGTCACACGGTTTTAGGACAGCTTCCTCCCCCTTCCTGTTGAACATCTGCTCTGGGTGTACATGGCTTATAAAGTCAGGGGAGTCCTCCCGGGGTAGATTCAGCTGGGGAGGGCACGTGGCCTTTGCTCTGTTTCCGTTTAGCAGGAAACCGTTTGAGGCCTTTGGCTGGGAACCCCCACTCAGAAAGTCTCCCTTTCACCTGGTGCACCCATGGGGCTTCCAGGGACTCGCATTGCAGGCTGGGAGTCAGTTCATGTTGCAACACGTCACCCTCCAAGTTGCTTGAAGGCCTTAGACTGTGGTGCAGCCAGCTGCTGCCGAAAGCATGTGGGTCACAGTGGGTCCCCTCTAGCTTTATCATAGGCTCATACTTTCTCCCCTCCTACTCCCATCTCCACAGGTGAGAAGCCTCACAAGTGCCAGGTGTGCGGCAAGGCATTCAGCCAGAGCTCCAACCTCATCACCCACAGCCGCAAACACACAGGCTTCAAGCCCTTTGGCTGTGACCTTTGTGGGAAGGGTTTCCAGAGGAAGGTGGACCTCCGAAGGCACCGGGAGACGCAGCACGGGCTCAAATGAGCACCCTGGCTGGCTGCAAGCAGCAGCTACACAACACTACGGAGGGCAACCTCCCTGCTTGCCACCACTCCCTTCTGACTTTCCAGACCCCAGGGGTCCTGTCTGCAGATCCCACCAGGGTGCTCCTCCTTTGCCTTACCTCCTGGAGCTGCCAGAGGAGATGAGGTACCTTTTCAAAGTGCAGCCGAAAGTGAGAAGCAAGCGACTCTCTAGGCTTCAGACACAAATAGGCTCCTCTACACCTGAAGACAAAGGCAAGGTCAAATGGGGACCAGAATAAATCTTAGACCCCACAGTCCCTCCCATTTCCAGCCCTAATCTGCAGACAGGAATGCCCTTCAGGTTTCTTCCCTCCCCCTCTTGACCTACCCCAGATATTTGTGTGGAAGAGGAGGAATCACCATTTACAAGGTGGACAAATGCTAATATTTTTATCTAGAAAGAAGAGTGAGTGTTAACTTTTTTTTTTTTTTCTTCTGGGGAGTCTGTTGACTCTTTTCTTCTGGGTGCTGCCTATAAATCTTGGAGGAATCATTTCTCCTCCTCAAAAACTGATTCAGAAACTGACTTGGGGAAGGAATTTAATACTTTGAAGTCATGAGATGCACCATCAAGGCTACCCCCAAGAAGGGGCAGAAGAGAAGTTGATGAGAGGGGATTAGAGGTCCTCCCTTCAGGAGGCCTGTGAAAGCCTCATCAGTGGAGATAAAAGCACGAGCAATGCCTGTGGACAAGATGTCATTCATTCACTCAGCAAATGTTCATGGATCACCGGCTACCAAAGTACCAGGCACCATGCTAGGTTTTGGGGAAGAGAGACTGAAGTCACAACCCCTGACTGCTCCTTAAAAGCTAACGGTTGCACCTCCAAGTGGCTGGGTCTTGGAGGCAATTCTGAGAAGACAACACAGAATTATAAACCTTCCCTTTTGACCCTTTTGGATTTTATCAGGTGTAAAAAAGAAAAGTAGCTGAACAGTTACTTCAAAGATATGTGTGTATATTCAGTTTTTTATTGTTAAGCTGATATTTTAAAGATGTCTGAGCTAGCAGGCATGTGGGAATGAAGGCTCTGTCTTCAACTCTTTGATCCTCCATGTGTACCATAGAGGGGGGAAAAAGTGGTATTTTCACTTTGATGAGGTTGGTAAATGTTTTTAGATCTTCTGGTATGCATTATGTTTGTTAATACATATTTATTAGAGTGATGTTTTAAGTTAATAAAGTATTAAGACTATTACAGATTGCCTTTCCTTTAGGCAGGGAATTTGGGGAAGACCTTTGTTTTAGTTTGTGGGGGAAAACTGGCACTAAAGGAAACTGCAGTGGAGTATAAAAGTGAAGCAGATAAGCTAATATCCAGAAGAGTAAAATCCAATTGCTCTGGTTTCCATATACTTTCTCCTTTGCTCCTATACCTCAGAGATACTTCTTTCATAAGAGAAAAACTAGGAGGTGTACAAAACTAAGCTCCTACCATGTAGAGCCCCTGATGGTTCCACAGGCACATAAGTAAGCTCTTTCCTCTGAAAATGTCAACATATTTTTTTATGGGCCTGAAGACTCCCAGATGAATAAAGAAATCACAGGTTTTAGGTCTAGGTTTTAGTTTTAGTCACAGCTCTGTCACCAACACATCATGTGACTTGGATAAATCTTTTGACTTCCCCAATACTGGTTTCCTTGATCAAGTAATACAGAGACAGCTCTGTCATTCCAGTCCAACCCTGACTGCTCTGATTCTGTGGAGACTGGAAAGGAGAAAAAGTATGAGATTGGTTAGCTGCCTCCCCTAATGCAAGTCACAAATCTAAAGGCACATGAGGATCTGGGTTATTTCTGGTTCTGTCCCACCTGTGGGAGCTTTTTGCATAAGTCAGTCCTTTAAGAGAATGAAACCAGAATAAAGTCCTGGCCAAAATCCCTACTACTAGTGCTTTAACACCTCCCAGCCAGACATTCAGGGTATGCGTGCCCCATGCTGAGTACCAGCAGATTGCCCATTTCCAACTCCAATTGATTTCACACATATGATTGAGCACCTAGTATGTGCTGGGCACTCTTCTAGTGGGTGGAGATATAGCAGTGAGGACAATGTCTTAGGAAGCTTTATGTATTCCTTGTTGAATCCTCAGTTCCCAGAATAGTGCCTGGCACACAGTAGGAGATTAATACATATTTACTGAGATGGTAAGTGAATAAACAGAAAATAAACTCCTTCATCCCAGGGGCTGGCTCTGCTCTCTACAGCACAAAGAGAAGAGCGATTGCTTGAGAGCCTGAGAAACAAATAGAATCCACAGGACTTTCTCTCCAGGTTGACGGGGAAGGGGGCTTGAATGCTGCTTTTCTCCAGTTTCTCCAAATCTCAGTCCTTGGCTGTCCTCACCTGATTTCCAGCACCATGTCTTTCCATGTCAGTTTACTCTCATTCAGAATTTAAATTTGTTTGCTCTGTAATGGAGTTTAAGATAGTTTTTCAGAACTGATGGATGATGAACAGTTGCAGCGTCCAGGAACCACTTCCTAGTGTCCTGGGAGACAAACCTCCCAGTGAATAAAGATGAGAAAAACATCCTTCCCACAGAAGTCACCCTGCGTACTGGTTGGTTATTTCCAACCTGGTTTGAAAAGTGTAGAAGTTGCACTGAGGGGTAAGTAGAACTGATTGAAATCTAGGTGTCTATGCTGTCCTGCTCTTCCCTTATGACATTTAGAACATTTGGACCATTTTCGTTATCCCTGTTTACGCTCTAAGTGAGGAATTGTAATTTTGATGGTAAGTGTATGCCCTTTTTTTTTTCTGGTAAAAAATGTATCTTGATATCCCCAGTTCAGAATCAAAACAAATTACTGTGCCTGTTACCGTGTGAAATTTGAAGATTGCAAATATCTCTCTTAATGTTATTACTTGACTCCATTAAAAATAGATTGTGAATATTCCATGTCACATTATTCATGAGGCAGGCTCTATGCCTTTTGTCTGCTGGAGTAACAGTAGAAAGGGTAACAAGAGACACAAGAGCACACCTTTGTTTCTTTCACTAAATTTTTAATAACACCTCCAGCTAGCCAGTTGGTGAAGCTCAGCTCTTGCATAAAAGTGGAAAAGCACAGCTATCTCTGAGAAGACCAACTCTTTCAGCAGCTAATTTGAGTTTGCGTTCATCTACACCAGACATGATTAAATTACCTATCAAGTGTGCTGAGCTATCAGGATTCAGGCCACGTAAAAGGTGAATTTCATCTGATTGATTTGAGACACGAATGGAACAATTGAGTTTTAAAAGCCCCGCCTTAATTAAAGGGATAGCAGAGTATCACTCCCCGGCGACTTCTTGACTGCCATTGCCCTTGAAAACTGGGTGGTGATAGTGATTTGACCCAAGTCACTTTGCTGTGTGCCTGTTTGTTCAACCTGATCATTTAACAGAAAGAAATGAACTCAGAGGAAAACCTGGAAGAACTTCACTACTTTTTACTGTGCATTTCTAGAGTACACTGTTTGTTTAAATCTGTGCTGCCATATTATTTCTACAGAAAAAACTTTTTAGGAAGTATATAATACATTTATTTTAACCTCTTTTCCCATTCATTAAGTCAGATTTTAAAAATTAAAAAGTTTAAAGAAATTGCACCCTAAATCCTTCTAGCTTAAAAGCTTATGTTCTTTTTGTATGTGTTCTTTTCTAGTTTGTTCCTTTCTAGTCTTTAGGCACATGTGCGTATATTTATATTTTATAATTTTTGTCTAGATAGCTCTTTATTATATGGACACATACTTAAAATAGATATTTCACAATGAGAATTTGGACAATTTTATGACCAAATTTTATTGAAATCTTAGTATTTTATTGGGAATCTTATCAATCATTGAGAAAAAGTCTTTTCTGAAGTTTAATGTTATTCACTTTTTGAATAAAACATTTTAGGCATACTGGAAATTGCAGAGAATAATAAACATCAGTGTACCCACTGTTCTGCCATATTTACTTCAGATTTTATTTTTGAAATAACATGTTACAGGTATAGTTGAATTTCTTCTGGGATATGTTCCTCTCTAGCCCCATTTCTTTCCTCCTCAGAGGCATCCATTATACCAAAATCAGTATATATAATTTCCATGAATATTTGTATGCCTTTAATTTATGCATAATTCCATAAGTAATATATAATTATATAAGCATATAATATAATTGTATTCATATGTATATATAAATATATAATTATGTAAATATATAATTTAGCATATTTTAACTTCATGTAAATGGATTACAGTTTATACTTCTGCACTTTTCTGGTTTTTTTGCTTAACATGTTGTTTTTGAGATTTATCCATGTTGATATGTGCAGTTTACTTCCTTTATTTTAACCACTGCATATGGAATTCCATGGGGTGAATACTTGGTAATTTATTCTCCTGTTGGGAGAGTTTGGGTCATATCCAGCTTTTCCTACTACAAATGATTCTGAAGCAAACAACCTTTTGCGTATCTCTTTTGTGAGGGATTCTTTAGGATGTATTCCTGGGAATGAAAATGCTGGATATTACCAAACTGCTCTTCAAAATGGTTGTTCCAATTTACAGTCTCCCCAACAATGTAGGAGAATTCCTGTTACTCCAAATCTTACCAACACTTGGTATTGTCAAACTTTAAACATGTCTGCCAATCAGATGGATGTGAATGTCATTGTAATTTGCATTTCCTGATTCCTAGTGAGACTGAGTATCTTTTTATAAGTTGATGGGCCTGACAGATTTCCTTTCCTATGTAATGCCTCTTCATGTACTTTGTCCATTTTTCTGTTGTTTGTTTGCTTTTTATCAATTTGTTCTTTAAATATATTCTAAACACTCACTGTTATATTAGTTAAATGTGTTGCATACTTATCCCAGTCTATGGTTTGCCTTTTCACTTTGAAGACAGGATTTGTTTGCTTGTTTTGTTTTTGTGTGTAATCAAATGTATTAGTCTTTTCCTCAATGGTTTATGCTTCTTACATATCAGTTAAGAACTCTTTCCCTAGCTGGTGGTCATTAGATTCCCTATATTTTCTTCTAAAAGTGTTTAAATTTATGCCTGTAACATTAGATTTTTTTTTCTTTTTTTTTTTTTTAGATAGAGCCTTGCTCTGTCGCCCAGGCTGGAGTGTAGTGGCGCAATCTTGGCTCACTGCAACCTCCACCTCCCAGGTTCAAGCAATTCTCCTGCTTCAGCCTCCCAAGTAGCTGAGACTACAGGCATGTGCCACCACACCTGGCTAATTTTTTATTTTTAGTAGAGACAGGGTTTCAACATGTTGGCCAGGCTGGTCTCAAACTCCTGACCTCAGGTAATCCACCCACCTCAGCCTCACAAAGTGCTGGGATTACAGGCATGAAACATTAGCTTTTTAATCCACTTGTATGTGTATAGTATAAAGTAGGACCTAATTTTAAAAATTGTCTTCACCATTAGTAATGGATAATCAATTATCCCAACATTATGTATTGCTATTTTCATCCTTTTCCCTCTGATTGTAATGCCACCTCTGTCATATGGCAAGTTTCTATTTCTGTATGGTTCTATTTCCAGGCTTGCTGATCTGTTCCACTGGTCATTTTGTCTATCTCTGTGCCAAAGCCATAGTGTCTTAAATAATTTAAGTTATAATAAACTCTTAATAGCTAGTAGGGAAGGCTGCCTTGTGACCTGCTTCATCCTCTTCAGGAATATCCTGGCTACCTTTGGCCCTTCGTTCTTGCATGTGAAAAACTCTGTTGGAATTTTGGTTTGTATTACATTTATTATTTAATTTGGAGAGAACTGAAATTATTTTGCTATTGATTCTTCCTATACATAAATATGGTATATTGATTACTTATTTAATCTTCTTTTATGTCTTTCAATAACACTTTGTCATTGTCTGCATAATTTAATTACTTTTTAAACTTATTTTCCTAGTTCTTTTTTTGAAAATTGAATTTTGTAATTGCTGATGTATGGGAGCAAAATTAATTTTTCTATATGTTGATCTCATATCCTACAACTTTGCTGAACCCTCTTTTTTGGTTTTTGCAGATTATTTTAGATTTTCAGAGTAAGATAGCCCTAAGATATTCAAGTGACAATAGCTTTATTTCATTCTTTCCATCTTATTCTTGCCTCACTGCACTGGCCACGGCTATATTGTATAGGGGCTGAATAACAGGCATCTTTGTCTTATTCCCTTATTCTAGGGAAATATTTTTAGTTTTTC